TCATTGTACCATGTGAAATTGGATCACATAGGTTGCAGACTCATTGTACAGTGTGAATGGGATCACACAAGTTGCACACTCATTGTACAGTGTGAAATGGGAGCAAATGGGTTGCACTCATTGTACCATGTGAAATTGGATCACATAGGTTGCAGACTCATTGTACAGTGTGAAATGGGATCACACAGGTTGCACTCATTGTACCCTGTGAAATGGGATCACATAGGTTGCACACTCATAGTACAGTGTGAAAAGGGATCACACAGGTAGCATTCATTGTACCATGTGGAATGGGATCACATAGGTTGCAGACTCATAGTACAGTGTGAAATGGGATCACAGGTTGCAGTCATTGTACCGTGTGAAATGGTAGAGAACTCGTTCATTGTACAGTGAATCGGCATCACGCGAGTCATAAACTTGTGTGAATTGGGATAACGTGGTCACAGACTCATTGTACCATGTGAAATGGGATCACACGGGTTGCACTCATTGTACCATGTGAAATGGGATCAAACGGGTTGCACTCATTGTACCATGTGAAATGGGATCAAACGCGTTGCACTCATTGTACCATGTGAAATTGGATCAAATGGGTTGCACTCATTGTACCGTGTGAAATTGGATCAAACGGGTTGCACTCATTGTACCATGTGAAATGGGATCAAACGGGTTGCACTCATTGTACCATGTGAAATGGGATCAAACATGTTGCACTCATTGTACCATGTGAAATTGGATCAAACGGGTTGCACTCATTGTATCATGTGTAATTGGATCAAACGGGTTGCACTCATTGAACCACGTGAAATGGTATCACACGGGTTGCACTCATTGTACCGTGTGAAATGGTAGAGAACTCGTTCATTGTACAGTGAATTCGCATCACGTGAGTTGTAAACTTGTACAGTGTGAATTGGGATAACGTGGTCACAGACTCATTGTACCATGTGAAATGAGATCAAACGGGTTGCACTCATTGTACAGTGTGAAATGGGATCAAACAGGTTGCATTGCAGACTGATACTGATGTAAACAAACATTTAGTTAGTATTGCTGAAAATTGAGCTGGAATTTGCTTGAGAAAATAAAATATGTAATTAAAAGTATTCAAGCTTTGCTACCTACTTCATAATTCCTTTCTGGTTAGCAACATGCTTGTTGATCATGGCAACTCCTGGTTCATTAAATCCCAAAATGCAAGGCATCTTTTCTGTAAGTTGCATCTTCTAACGACGAACTGTTATCAGACAGTAGCCATCA